ATATATATATATATATATACATGTTTACAATTTAAATTTTAAATATATGTTGTGTTACAGTAATGCGAATATTAATTGCATTTATTTATGTATTTATCTGCATAAAATTTGAAAAGAAAATGTGCTTAATTGTCATGAAAATAATGTCCTTATGCAAAAAAATTATATTGGTCCTAAAAACTGGCTTCTTTTTATTTATGTAAAATAAATTTTTTTGATTTTGGGGCTAAAAAAATGACCTGATCCTGGTTTTAGCGAGATTCGCCCAATTAATGTGATTTTCTTAAATTAAACATTTATTCAGGGAGAGTTCAGGTATCTAATCTGAGACGAGCTTCCAGAGACCCGATCAGAAGCTCACGTGTCTGCTTCTGCGAGTGAAGGACTGCTGGTTTGCGCTGGACGCATGTCTTCTGTCTGGACTGAAGCGGCATCATTGCACTGCTTGTACACACAGATAACTGCTCAGAGGTTGTGGTGACGGGGCTCAAGCGAGCAGAGCGGAGCGTTCTGTCTTAGAGGGAGACTCACAGGTAACAGACGCTCTCGTGCTGTGTGAGGACTCTGATTGGCCTCGCTCAGCATCGCTCTCTGATGCTGCTCTGACTATTTATAGAAAACAGTTCAAGTCAACATGAAACACCACTGCATCTACTACATTTGATTGTAGCACCCTGCACTCCCAAAAACACCTTCCTGGTCTAATTGTGCAAAATAAGTGCATGTTTTAATAAAAATGTTACTTTGTAAAACTTACTAAGTTTTTTCATATCTTTTGAGATACTGTTATAGGTTTATTAATATTTTAAGTTAGCTTAATTTTTTTAGTAATTTTTATTATTTCTTTTTTAAATGTCTATATAGTTTTATTAATCTTATTTCAGCTTTAATGTAGGATTTATTTAAGTTTCAGTTTTAGTATCAGTGAGATGCAATTATAGTTTTTATTGATATTTAGAATTTTTTATTTTCTATTTTAATTTTAGTTTTAGTAATTTTGTTGTGTTGTTATTTTTATTAGTTTTTTTATATCTTTATAGTTTTTATTATTTGTTTCATTTTAGTTTTAGTATAGTAACATTGAGATGCTGTTATAGTTTTAAATGGGTTTTTATTTTATATTTTCTGTTTTCATTTTAATTTTAGTTAGTTTCAGTAATTTTTTTTATTCTATTAGTTTTTTAATGTCTATAATTTCTGTTTATTTTCATTTCAGTTTTTGTTTAGTTTTATTACAGTGTTCAGTGTTAACATTTTTAATTCTACTTTGCAAAAAATTAAACCTATTTTTATTTTTGAAAAGGAGATTAATGACAATAGTATCATTTTCTTTAATGTAGACATTTGTATGTAGAATATAGAAATGAATGCAAAAAATCTCAGTCTTCCAAATATCTAAATAATAAATTAAGAAAATGTATTTTGCCTACAGAAAATGAAAGCAGACATTACTTCCGCTAATTAGAGCCAGTTGATTAAATTGAATAATTACAAATAATTAAATGCATTTTTATAAAACGTGCCATTATGAATTGTGCACAGGAATGTGTATTTAGGAGTTTTGTTTTCATGTTGATTTGATCTCACTCTGTTGATGAAAATTGTGAGTCATATATATATTTTCATGCTTGCAAAAACATTCATAGTCATAACTAATTTAACACATTGTCTGATTGAAATTATTCCATCATTCATTATTAACTACAGGGTGACAGCTCACGCCACTCGAGTCATTCATCTGCGTCCTCTGACCTCTGTGTGATTCATATGTGCAGTGTGTGTTTAGCTAATGCTAATTCTGAGATGTAATTCAGAGGTTTGGCCTGAGCATCATGTGAGTCAGTCTGGAAGGGACGGTTGCTAAGCAACACTGCTATAGGGAGATTTTGTGTCACGCATCCTCGGCATAAACTTCATTTAGCACTTTGTGTCCACACCCTGAACAAATACACAACCGCAAATGCTGTTTGCTCACTGTGCACGTCCTGTAAATCACTGGATATATGCATTATATATGTATGTGTGTATTAAGAGAAATATGATGTTAGGGTGAATCTCACAAAGAAATATCCATGTCAGAATTCATCCCAAAATCAAAAGTAGGAAATGATATTCTGCTTAAAATAAGAAATTTGTGTTGGCACAATGTTTATAAGCGCGTTTTCTTTAATGTAGAATTTTATTGTAATGCATAAAATCTATTACTGCCTGGATACAATTATTATATTTTGTATTATTAACATGTACAGTTATTCATTCATATGTATAAATATATATATATATACATATATATGAATGAGTAATTGTGCATATATAAAGAAGAAATGGCAAGTATTGAAGAGTTTGTGTGATTATATAGACACAGAATACTGAAAAATGTATGCATAAAAAGGAGAATTTCCATATAAAAATTGAAACCTCTTTTATTGAAGTGCATCCTGTTAATGACAATTAAGCACTTTTTTTTTTAAATGTAGAAGATAACTACAAAAACTACTGTCAAAATATATTATCTCAACGCAATTTCCCTTTTTATTCCTGCAACATATAATGTCTTATTTTTATTTTAGGGTGAAAGATGCAATATATTTTGTCTAAAAACTTTTTTCTTTTTTAAAGAACAAATGGCAAATATTGAAGCTTTTGAGTGATTTTTATAGACACAGTACTGATAAATGAACAATTATATTTTGCATAATAAAAATTAAACCAATTTTTGCATTGCACATTATGTTAATGACAATTAAGCACATTTGCTTAAACATGGAAATTAACTGTAATGCATAAAATCTCATTACACAAAGATTTTATTATATTTGTTTTGTAAATATTGGGCACCAAAAATGTCAATCTCAACAGTCCTAAAAAATTATTAATTTCCCTTTTTTATTCATGCAAAATATATATATATATATTTTTTTTTTAGGGTGATATTTGACCCAGACATTTGTTTGACATTATTGATTAGATTAGCCAGTTAAAAGATGCAATCTATTTTTGTCTAAAAAAGTTTTGTTTTTTTAAGAACAAATGGCAAATTTTGAAGCTTTTGTGTGATTTATATAGACACACAGTACTTATAAATAAATGCATAAAAAACATTAAGCAATTATATTTTGCATAATGAACATTAAACCTATATTTTATTTTTGCTTTGCGTGTTATGTGAATGACAATGAAGCACATTTTCTTTTATGCAGAAAGATTGTATTTGTTTTATTAATAAAAATTCAGTACAAAAATAGTCCAAATTCACATGCAAATCTTAATTGCCCTGGTTAATTTCCCTTTTTATTCATGCAAAAATATATATATATATATTTTTTTTTTTTGGGGGGTGATTTTTGTCCCAGATATTACTCATGAGATTCACCTGTTAAGATGCAATATATTTTGTCTAAAAAATTTTCTTTAAAAAAAAGAAATGGCAAATGTTGACTCTTTTGTTACGCAATTCTGATGCATGGGATGTTGTTGCGTTTGCAGCTACTGTATCACCTCTGGCTGACGTACAGTTTATATCGGCCAGAGACGGGGAAGGCGGGGCCAGCAGAGACTCAGATGGATTTGATGAATTGGATTGGACAGTCTGGAATAGAATAAGCCTGTGATTGGACAGTTCTGAAAGCGGACGCTCTGTGAACAGTAAAGCACACTTACGGATCTATCGGACTGCTCACGACATTTGGAGTTTTCCGTTTATTTTCGGTGTGGATGCAGACTGAAGCCAGTCGGCGCAATGAAAAAAAAAAATCCCGATATGGATAGTGAAACGTTTCCTGCTTGAAACGAGTCGGCTCTCCATTTAAATGTGGCAGCTGTATAAAGAACACACATCCACCTGTGGCTTCCCCTCTGTGACAGGTAGCAAATCAAACACCCCCTCGAACCCCCTTCCAAGGCCTCTGTCGTTGCAATAAGTGTATTAAGATGTGTAGAGGCACAAGTGTTTAAAAATGTAGTGTAAAAGTATTAGTGTATCGACTATACTAAACTACAGAGTAGAGAGAAAGTAAACATGATAAGTTTAATAAATGTGACCTTCAGTCGTCTATGTTTTTATTTGCTCTAGTATCTCTGGTGGATTCATTGTTGTCTGTGTGTGTGTTTGTATGTGGGATGTTGATCTCAAATGGGACACTTAAAGGAATAGTTAAGCCAAAAATTAACATTTACTCACTCTCAGCCCATCCAAGATGTCTTCATAAGATTTGGAGAAATGCCGCATTGCATCAGTGTCTCAGCAATGGATCCTCTGCAGTGAATGGGTGCCGTCAGAATGAGAGTCCAAACAGCTGATAAAAACATCTCAATAATCCACAAGTGATCCACACCACTCCAGTCCATCAGTTAATGTCTCGTGAAGCAAAAAGCTGTGTGTTTGTAAGAAACAAATCCATCATTAAGACGTTTATAACTTCAAACCGTCGCTTCTGGCCAAAATATGAGTCCATACGCAGGAAACAAATTTAGGTTATAAAAATGTTGTTTCTTTTGAAATGTCTAGTTTTCTTGTCATGATTAGAACGTTAATGTCTACAAAAATGTTTCATATAGCATTCTAGTAACGTTATTTGAACATTGTAATGTTATTATTATAAGAATGTTCAGTTTTCTTGTCGCAATTATAACATTATTTAAAGGTTTCAAAAATGTTTCTTACAACATTCTACTAACTTCATTTTCACCCAAAATATAACATTACTTGGAACAGATGCAATGCTACATTTCTCTAAATCTGATGAAGAATCAAACTCATCTACATCTTTGATGGCCTGAGGGTTGAGTGCATTTTCAGCAAATGTTCATGTCTGGCTGAACTCTAGTGCTCTACAGACCTCATGAAATGGCTTAAAAGCACAGTTTTCTTTTACTTTTTTAAATAACCACTATGCTTTCATTTGCACAGGTGTGTTGACCCCAACTTTGCTTATAGTTGCATATCAAGCTAAAATCTTTGAAGGAATTTTAACATTTAGACCTAAAATGTGTGTTTTTTTTAATGTATAAATCTTCTGAAAATATCGTTTTGTCAGGTTTTAATGTAAGTGAGCAGATATGAAGCCACAAAACCTCGTCATTTGAATGTCTTGCGGTCTTTGAATGTGTGTTGATTTTTCGCAGTTCTCTTGCTCCTCCCCGTTTCCTGGAAAATTCTCCCAGTGCTACAATCAGATGTGATGTGCAATAATGATGTGAAACAAAGCTGCACCGATTCACACTGTGATTTCAGTTCAGTCCGTGACTGACGCCGCAGCAGAGCCTCTGAAAACACTAGCGCGGCACGGACACCTTCGCTCTAATTAGATCTTTTCTTTTCCTTCAGCCTTGGAGAGATTAGAGCTGTCACATCAGTGTGTGTGTGTGTGTGTGTGTGTGTGTGTGTGTGTGTGCGCGCGTCTCATGAAACCGGTCAAGAACATGTCCAGGTCACATTTCACCGCAAAATCAAAAGAATTTTAATACAATTACATTTTACATAAATAAAATGAAGCCTATTTTAGGACCAATACGATTTTTGCCATTTTTACATTCTATTCAATGTGCACATGAGTAAAATACACTTTTACAATAAAAATAAATAAGTATACCACCATTCAAATGTTTGAGGTTGATAAGATTTTGTAATGTTTTGAAAGTCTCTTGTGCACTCCAGGGCTGCATTTATTTGATCAAAATACAGTAAAAATTGTGAAATATTATTCCAATGGAGAATAACTATTTTCTATGTGAATATCTGTTAAAATGTCATTTATTTCTGTGATCAAAGCTGTATTTTCAGCATCATTCCTCCAGTCTTCAGTGTCACATGATCTTCAGAAATCTTTCTAATATGCTGATTTGCTGCTCAAGAAACATGATTTTTATTTTTGTGGAAACTTTGATGCGTTTTTTAGGAGTCTTTAATGAATAGAAAGTTCAAAAGGACAGTGTTTATTTGAAATAGCAATCTTTTGTAACATTATAAAGTCTTTACTGTCACTTTTGATCAGTTTAATTGAATGTGACCTTGCTGAATAAAAGTGTTGGTCTTAAAAAAAAAAAAAAAAAGAAAAGAAAGAAATGTCATTTTCTACATTTTCTTTTTTGGGATTTTGGGTTAAATGTGAGCTGGACAAGTTCTTGACCGGTTTGTGTGTGTGTGTGTGTGTGTGTGTGTGTGTGTGTGTTTTTCCCACCACCCACAGAACTTAAGAGGATAGCATTCTTCATTTTAATATTATCTGCTGCTTTAAGAAGTCAGGGCACCGTTTCAAATATATATGACAAAAATGTAAAGGTATATATATATTTTTTTGAATTTAGATCTTGTATTTTTGTGTCTCTTGAAGAGTCTCATTGTCAGTCCCGCGGTGTATCTGTTTGTCCACTCTGTGCAGACTGTGATTCTGGAGTGTTTTTATGTTTCAGTGATTGGACTTTTGAACATTGTGGAGTCTTTTGTCGGCCTTTTGTAGTGCATGCAAAACCCATGGTCAAAATGTAAAGACTGTGTCTGAAGAATATGTACAGTTCAATGCAATGTGAGACAGTTGGATAAACATATTAACCTTGTAAAAAACAAGCAGCTTTCTTTTCTTTCTGTTTAAAACACACTGCACCGCCTGGACTGCCCTGGAGAAATGATGTTTCTCAGATGCTGCTCTTTCATAGCACAGAGTTTTCTTTCAACTTTGCCTCAGATGTTTCTATGGAAGCCTGTTTCCACCATGGAATAAAAAATAAAAGGTAAACTGGACTTTTTGATCTCACAATTCAGACTTTATTTTTCAGAATTGTGAGATGTAAAGTAAGAACTGCAAGATATAAAGTCAGAATTGTAACATTTGAACTTCAAAGGGATAAAGTCAAAAATACGAGATATAAATTCAGATTTTCTAGTTTACATCTCATCATTCTCACTTCGTGCAATTCTGAGTTTAAATCGGAATACTGACTTTACATCTCGCAGTTTTAACTTCACATCTCCCAGTTTTGAGTTTACATCTTACAGTTTTAACTTTATATCTCGCAATTCTGACTTTACATCTTACCGTTTTAACTTTACATCTCGCAATACTGAGTTTACATCTCCCAGTTTTGACTTTACCTCTCACAGTTTTAACTTTACATCTCGCAGTTTTGACTTTACGTCTCGCAATTCTGACTTTACATCTTACAGTTTTAACTTTATATCTCGCAATACTGAGTTTACATCTCCCAGTTTTTACTTTACATCTTCCAGTTTTGACTTTACCTCTCACAGTTTTAACTTTACATCTCGCATTTTTGACTTTACGTCTCGCAATTCTGACTTTACATCTTACAGTTTTAACTTTATATCTCGCAATACTGAGTTTACATCTCCCAGTTTTTACTTTACATCTTCCAGTTTTGACTTTACCTCTCACAGTTTTAACTTTACATCTCGCATTTTTGACTTTACGTCTCGCAATTCTGACTTTACATCTTACAGTTTTAACTTTATATCTCGCAATACTGAGTTTACATCTCCCAGTTTTTACTTTACATCTTCCAGTTTTGACTTTACCTCTCACAGTTTTAACTTTACATCTCGCAGTTTTGACTTTACGTCTCGCAATTCTGACTTTACATCTTACAGTTTTAACTTTATATCTCGCAATACTGAGTTTACATCTCCCAGTTTTTACTTTACATCTTCCAGTTTTGACTTTACCTCTCACAGTTTTAACTTTACATCTCGCAGTTTTGACTTTACGTCTCGCAATTCTGACTTTACATCTTACAGTTTTAACTTTATATCTCGCAATACTGAGTTTACATCTCCCAGTTTTTACTTTACATCTTCCAGTTTTGACTTTACCTCTCACAGTTTTAACTTTACATCTCGCAGTTTTGACTTTACGTCTCGCAATTCTGACTTTACATCTTACAGTTTTAACTTTATATCTTAATTTGCCCTTTCGGAATAAAAGTTTTGGTCTAAAAAAAAAAAAAAAAAAGAAAAGAAAGAAATGTCATTTTCTACATTTTCTTTTTTGGGATTTTGGGTTAAATGTGAGCTGGACAAGTTCTTGACCGGTTTGTGTGTGTGTGTGTGTGTGTGTGTGTGTGTGTGTGTTTTTCCCACCACCCACAGAACTTAAGAGGATAGCATTCTTCATTTTAATATTATCTGCTGCTTTAAGAAGTCAGGGCACCGTTTCAAATATATATGACAAAAATGTAAAGGTATATATATATTTTTTTGAATTTAGATCTTGTATTTTTGTGTCTCTTGAAGAGTCTCATTGTCAGTCCCGCGGTGTATCTGTTTGTCCACTCTGTGCAGACTGTGATTCTGGAGTGTTTTTATGTTTCAGTGATTGGACTTTTGAACATTGTGGAGTCTTTTGTCGGCCTTTTGTAGTGCATGCAAAACCCATGGTCAAAATGTAAAGACTGTGTCTGAAGAATATGTACAGTTCAATGCAATGTGAGACAGTTGGATAAACATATTAACCTTGTAAAAAACAAAACAAACGGCTTTCTTTTCTTTCTGTTTGAAACACACCGCATCGCCTGGACCGCCCAGGGGAGAGTGATATTTCTCAGATATTGCTCTTTCATGTCTCAGGGCTCCAGACAAAAAAATCAATTAAGGGGGAAACTGAGGTTCACTTAAAATAGGAACTAAACAGTCACAAAGAATTGTTTATTACACAGAATCTGTGCCAATATCTCAGACCATAATTATGTCAGCATCATTTGGCCATTGAGTGAAGTTTGGGCTCCTGCTCAATGCATCCTATAAATGCTGTCAAATGCTTTGCACACATCCAGTCTGTTTTTCTCAGAGGTGGACAGTAACGAAGTGCATTTACTTGAGTACTGTACTTAAGTACACTTTTTGAGTATCTGTACTTTGAGTATAATTTTTTCTGGAAACTTGCTACTTCAACTTCACTACATTTGAAAGAAAAATATCGTACTTTTTACTCCGCTACATTTATATCAAGGTCCCCAAGTAGAAAGTCGTTATATGTAGCAGTTTTTCCAGTGTGTGCATTTATTCACTGAACCCTTTTTTCTGCGAAAATCCGGCCTGCGATCTGCAGTTTTCCGCATAGCTTTGAATGGATGTTTGGCTGATTTTGGCAACCTCGGGACCTTCCCCGCTAAACTAATGTAAACGTCTGTGCTACTGCACAGCTAAAAGTGCTCTAAAAAGGCAAATAAGAGAATAAAAGAGGAAAAAGGCACATATTAGTGTGGTGTGATCATCTGTGTGCTCACCACATTGATTT